ATCTCCTGGAATCGACAAACACGATACCTGGGCGTGACGATGGACCAGCGTCTCACGTGGAAACCGCACATCGTGGAGACGGTGGCGCGAGCGAAGACCACCAGGGCTAGGCTCTATCCCTTACTCAAAGGTGGAAACACCCTCAGTTTAAGGAATAAGCGAACGCTTATCAAGGTGGTACTTCAACCGCAGCTAACCTACGCCTCCACGGCGTGGGGTCACGCGGCAAAAAGCCACTTAAAGTCATTACAGGCTGTGGAAAACATAGCCCTCCGCACGACCACCGACGCGCCCTGGTACGTAAGAAACTTTGACATATTACGAGACTTACAATACACAAACGCTAGATAAACAATAAGACAAAACGCGGAGAAACGGTTTGACGTAGCCGCTAGACATAACAAGCCCTTCATCAGGCAAGCTGTTGACTATGTACCCGACGTGACCGACAAACACAAAAGACTTAGACACCAACTTTTTGACCCTGGGTGACCACCCCAACGACATCCCCCCGCTGCCCACTATTCTTTTCCGTTTCAGAGACCGCCAGGAACAAGAAACGAAGACAACGACAAACACATACACACCACCCATACCCTCCTTTCCCCTCCCCTCCCGCACTAGCCTAAGGGCCACCTTAGCAAAGGCTGCATAGCCGCACTATCTTACCCAACCACAAACATGACACCACCCCCGGGGTTTACACAGACGAGCCGGCGAAGCAAGAAGAGCGCCAGAAGAAAGGGCCCTAGCCGGCGGAGCCCAGCCAGGACAAAAGGAGGTCCCACAAAGCGCCTACATCGGTCGCATTTGCGGTCGGGGTAGACGACGGATGGGGCCCACCTACGAAGGCTGTCCAGGCCTACACGAGATGAGGCAGGATAAAGAGGAATAATTCCCCTCGATCCTAAATCATTGGGGCCAATTTCTAGCCATGGAATAATGGCGAGTTGTATTGTATAAATGAATCGTTCCAAAAGTACGATACTGGAATAGGATTTTAAAGATCGATTCCTACGATTCCTATTAGAAATATAAATATGTATATTCTAAATGCTTTGTAGTGCTAGGTTTGTTGGGTTTGTTTATAATTTGAGGTTTACTTTAACGTAAACGACCTGCGTGGAACGAGAATTATATAAGTGATTAAGATACGAAACAATTTTTATAAAATTGTCCTATATGAAAACCTTCAAATTAAGAACTTGAAAAACAGCTTTTTGAAATTTTATTTGCTTCAGGCTAGGGGAACATCACTTTTATTGTGACGTGATTGCCGGTAAACTTATCCTGATTTTACAGAAACAAATAATTGTTCAATAAATGTTCAGTAGGTAAAACTAAATTAGGTACTAATTTAAAACAATATGTAGTAACTGTAGTAGCTTTTCAGTCAAGCAGTTGCGACATCTAGCCATTAAAGAACTAATATCCATATTATGAGCTGTAACATCTATAATCAAACGCGATATGTACAGACAACTATATACATAATCTCTGAATTACTTCAAATTTCGTCAGAGGGCGCGTGTTGCTAAAACAAAAAATTAAAGATGTGGGATATATTTACAATTTTTGTTGACGTATGTATGTATATCTGTTTATTTTGAGTAGGTAGGGTATTAAGTTGTATTCTAGTGCTTGCTCTGTTCGCGTAGGATAGGAAGTAGTTTATTCAAGGTTTACTGCGTTTTACCGTGATACAAAAGAATGTTTCTTATGGTTAATCTGTGACTTATTGTGTTTTTAAGAAAATTAAAAAATTGTGTGAAGAAGTAGTATTTTTTTATACTTACAAAGTTTAAACAGACTGACAAACTGTTTAATAACAACGATTTCGTGTTTGTATTTACTGTTGCTTTATCGAGCTGAGATAAACTGTTGATCCTAACCACAATTTTCGGTACATCAAAGTTTTGGTAAGTTTAAAATGTATTATATAATTATATTATATAAATACATTTTTTTTGTAAATATTTCCATATATTTTTTATTTCATTTGCTAACCGTTGTAATTATACTATTTCTTGATATAATCCAGCTTGAACCTTGTATGGTACACATATAATATGTAAATATTGTAAATCTACGTTTCTAGTGGGTACGTAATTTGTAAATCTGTTTTATATGATTAAATTCAATCCATTAAATTGTTGATAATGTTTTTAAGTAGATAACTTTTTGTATCGTATCAATCAGATTTATATTTATTAAATGGTCTCATTAAACAATTGATTCAATGTATAAGTACCAAAGGTTTAAACAATATAGGATTGATATGTTAAGTAAATATTGAAACTATCAATACTTAGAAAATTATTATTTCTAGCTATTGTCAATTTTCGGTTTCACCATAAAGTAGGTAACACATTTATTGAAAAACGTTTTACTTGTCTCTTACATGTGAAAGTATTATTTATCTAAAATGTAAACACAAATCTTTTATTTTATTAATTTTTGTTTGAAGAGTAGGTTCTTCTTTATTTAAGTATAACATTGATATTCAAATTCTCATTTTTTTCGTGCGGGTAATTTACATATATGTATATTTTTTCAGTAGAACTTTTTTAATGTAATTTATTACTTTTAAGTTTTTATTTAGAACTTAGTTGGTTGATTGACAGTCAATCAAGCGTAGAGAAACTTATGTAACATCTGTATAGGTCATTTTGAAGTACCCACCACCATACACCACAATCTTTTTCATTTCAACACTAGCGCCATAAATTTTAGGAAAGTTGATACCTACCTACCTATTATGATTTAAAAATTGAATTAAACATACCTCTTACCATTAGTCGGTACCTACCTTTAAGTTGGTAGTGGTACGTCGTCTGACTCATTTTTCTTAGAAATATTTGTAGCAATGTGTACTGAAAATCCGCATTCATATTTAGGAGATAGTTTAAAGTCATTGATTATGGTTTGAATTCCAAAGGAAATTGAAAGAAAGTATGTAATTATTTAAAAAAATTACTTGTTCATTAGATATACTTAAACAAAAATACAACTCAAAGCAAATATTATGGCTTCTAATTAATTTAGTTGTGTTACTTTAAGGTTATTTGTGATTAAATAATAATATATCAAATCTAGATATATGTAGATAGAGGCAGTATTACTGCTATTGTACTGCTATGTGTAAGTAGTTTCGTTACGTTACGTTCTACTTTTAAAACGATTCATTCCATTTTTGACTTTGTTAAACCTACATGTAGCTATCTATTAATCATTTAAATTTCATACATGTTTATAATACGAGTCCAAACTGAGAATGATAATGCTGTTAAGAATTAAAATATGTGTTATTCACTCCACATACGTAACACTCATTACATAGCGATTGGAATTAGAATGAAATCTTCCAGTGAAGTATCTACACTGTTAATAATCCATGATTTTGTGCCTGTTATTGCAAAATACAGATCAGTTTAAAAGAAAGAAAAGAATGGAATATACTTTTTGCAGTAGCATTTCATCAAGTACATTTTTGTAAGCGTGTCTAAGTAATTAATTGAAGGATAAGCATTTAATGTGGCAAAACAATTACCTCTGTTACGCCACTGTCGTCCGTCGCCATAGAGGAGGATCCTCGCATTATATCAAGTACCGTAGATACCCCGCCGTGTGCTAATTTAAAATGTCAAATGAACAATAGGCTTCGATAGTTTGGCAAACTCTAACTATGTTATTGCCAATTTGAGAACTTACCATGACAGGTCGTTGACAAAAATTTCAGAAGCCTTTTTAATTTCGTTTCGTACAGGGTGGCCCATTTTGCGTGGGACTGCAGGATAAGGGCTAAGCAATAGTGGATAGAAATAAACTAATATAGTAATTTGCTAATTCTATTGATTTACAGGAAATTTTTAGAATTTGCGCGATTTTTATTAATAGTCTAGGAGCCAGACAGGGTGCCGTGGCCAATCAGAGTGCCACGACTGCAAACAACTTATTCTTAAGTATTTTGGCCTCCTGAATCCAAAAAACTTGGTCGCAAATCCTGAAAGTGGTCAGTTTAATTGTTATTAACAAATTAAATGTTTAAATAGCTGTAAAAAGTTTATTTTTATAGCTAGTCCAATTTTTTATGCGTTGATAGTTAGTAAAGAAAGATTAACTTTAACCAAAGTTATTGCTAATTTAGTGCAAATCTCTTACATTTTCTGTCACCGCGAGCACTAATTTTACCATATCTCTGGTTCTATTGGACGGATTGAGACGTACGACATCTCATTTTAAAGCTTGAACTTTATTTTACATGATAGGTAAGTTCCATTTATTAATTAATTTATTTAACAATTAATGGCACCTTAGAAAGGTGTGAAATTTCAACGAAAATGCTGGTATTATTTGTTTTTAAGGCATTTTTTATTATACAACTTCAATGAAAAGTCAAAAAAGTTACCGGATATTGTTCCTCGCATCCTAACAATCATTTCATGCCTTAATTTTTCTTTATCAAATTGTTAAATAAATAAATTAATAAATGGATCTTACCTATCTTGTAAAATAAAGTTCAAGCTTTATAATGAGATGTCATGCGTCTCAATCCGTCCAATAGAACCAGAGATATAATAAAATTGATTTACGCAGAGACGGAAAATGTAAGATATTTGCACTAAATTTGCAATAACTTTGGTTAAAGTTAATCTTTTTTAATTTTCAAAAAAATATATGTTTGTTCTGAGAAAACGTAACTATTAGCGCATAAAAAATTGTACTAGCAATAAAAATAAACTTTTTACAGCCATTTCAATATCTAATTTGTTAATAACAATTAAACTGACCACTTTCAAGCTTTGCGACCAAGTTTTTTGGATTGAGGAGGTCAAAAAACTTACTAAAGAATAAGTTGTTTACAGCCGTGACACTCTGATTGGCCACGGAACCCTATCTGGCTCCTAGACCAGGGGTCGGCAAGTAATTTTAGGTGGGGTCCGGATACTTTTGAAAATTTTGAACGAGGTCCAGAAAAAATTCATATTTCTTATTTTTTTATTTTAATTTGGACTCAAATTTAATCTGCTTACTAATTAAGAACTCAAAACACGCACACAATTGTAAAATACTAGAAAAAATGATAAGATTGACACTTAAACGTAAAGAAAATTTTTTAAATAATTTATTTGAGTAATTTATACTTTCAAAAAATTTTTGGCGGTCCGGTATTCTACCTTCCGCGGTCCGGACCTGGACCGCGGTCCGCCAGTTGCCGACCCTTGTCCTAGACTATAACTCTTACATCTCCGTTGTTATAAGAAATACCAAAAAAAGGTTTAACATTTTTTCCCAGTAACACAATTTTTTCTTAATTTTACATTTTCGGAGAAATGTCACAGAAGTTCGTTATTTCAGATAAAATAAGAGTACACTGTATATTGTTGTAACCGAGGTTATCACATTGTTTTTTTTTTTTGGTTTACCAATGTGTCGTATCAATTAAAATTTCTGAGATTAGTATTAATAACTAATTATTGCAATGATTATTAAATATATATTATTAACTGCATTACAATGTTAAATTATAATGGCACAAAAAAAAATTCCGACTCTTTGTATAAGTGTTTAAACGTCCTCATTATTTGAGGAAGAAAACTGAAAGAAATATTGAAAAATCTCAATGTAGATATATGTATTAAAGTAGAAAATACCTATGTATTAATAAAAGCAGTACTTATAATTATAATAAATTTTGTAATACTGACAGACATGTGGCTTTTAGTAATAATTCCTTTCATAAACCTTTAAATTTTAAATATTTATTTGTAATATATAAGAAAAGTAATTTTTATAGACCGTATTATATTGTTCTTTCGTAAAATATAAAATTAAGAAAAAACAAACATTTTCTTTTTATGTCTCTTATAACTGAGATACAAGAGCCAAAAGAAGTCGGTCAAATCAATTTAAACTCGAACTAGAGAACAAGATACCTGTATTAGTTTTTTTCCTATCACTATTTAGCCTATTCCTAACAATCCCATCCAAAATGGGCCGCCCCGTACATAGACTCAATTTATATTTTTTTTTGACAGTACATATAAAAACTGTTTATAAACAAAAACAAAAATGGAAATTGTTTATGGTTTTAGTTGCCGATCAGTTCAAAAATTAACTCGCCAAATCACTAGAGGTCTCACTGGAGGTCCTAAGTTTTCGTTGGAAAATTGTCTGGTATGAATTATATACCTTATATAGTACAAAGTCCTTCTAATGTTTGTACCATTATTCTAAAATTATTTTTGGTCCTAGAGAAAAATAAACATTGTTATGTAATATAAATATACTAAGTACATGTTATAATCACGTATACTGAAAAGTAAATTAAAACAATGCAGTTATAAAGTTAAATAAATCATCATACGGTATTGCCAAATACGTGGATATGCTCTAGGAAGCCTGTTCAAATTAAATCTTGAGTTTTACTTGTGAACTTAATTATCAAATAATAAATTCAAAGTATGTTGTTTGTAAGAACAAGCTTTATTCACTTCGTGACAATATTATAATTGAATTGAATAAATTTACAAAGCGTTTATATATCCTTTTAAAAAGCTGACTCTAATATTATTTTATCTCTATATGATATGGAAGCTTCATAACAATTATTATTATGAACTAAGCATTACGTTATCGACAAAAAATATATTATACGGGGTACATCACTCCTCCCCCTTTAGAACGGACCATGGGGACCTAACGGTGCCATTGGGACGTCTTCGACTGGGTCTTGGGAATTTCCTCCTCTTTGGCGGATCTTCCGAATATAAGTGTGGATTTTCTTCCGACAATAGATATAAATAGAAAATAGACATACAAAAATAATGGACGTAATGAAGATGATCCATAATAAGTTTGATTGGTTGTCGGGGAGTGGTTCAATATGGTTAATTGAAGACAAATGATGACTGGACTG